ATATTCAAAAAGTAATTCTCTCATTCATTATTTATTAAAATAAGCTCTTTACATACACGTGAACCTATCTGAACTTTTTCATGATCCACACCTACAGCTGTCCATTTATAGGACACTGTCCACTACAAATCTCAAAATAAAGATAAGGCTAATCATTTGGTAGCCACCCTTGCAGGTCGAGACTAAGCTAGAGCAGGAACTGAACAGCCTCTGGCTGGTATTTGTGTATCCATGCCCCCTCCCCAAAGGAGTTGTCATCACTCTCTCAGGAACAAGCTCTAAGACCTCAAACTATGTCAGATTAACAGGTCCTATATGGTTCAATGGCCTCCCTAACTCTGACTTTATCCAATCTCCTCTCCTCTTAAACTTCTTATTTACAGCAAGAGATCCAAATACTGCCAAAAAAAATACAACAAACTGGATCTCAACTACTGTCTGGAAGCATTTCCCCTAAAAAGAAACATATGAAAGTTTATTCAAGAGAAAAATACTCTAAAAATGTATCTGAAAATAACAACCACTTTCAAAAGACAGTAAATTTGGGGAAAACCAATGGGTTTTATATAGCAATCACTGCTAAGGAGTCAAGAGAATAATTATCTTTGTCATACATATTTTCATGTCTTGATGATCATGTAAGATTAAGAAAGACTAGGTACCCCTTTTGGTTCTCATGGAAGCAGTGGGTCACCCTGTGCAGAGCTGAGAGTGACCCATTCAGAGATGCACATGAGGACAGTGGCAGAGCTAATCGAAGAAAATTTAAGAGACAAGGACTAGAAAATAGGTCTTCACTTCTCTTTTTAATATAAGATGCAGGAATATATGCATCTGGAGCAGATCACCCCACAGTAGTATTTCTTTTATGTTGGCCTGCCAGATGAAAACACAGAACACCCAGTTAAATTGGAATTAAACAGCAATTAATTTTTAATATATGTGTGTCCCATGTCATACTTGTGACACACTTATACTAAAAAGGTGTTGTTTATCTGAAATTCTATTTAACTGGGTGTTCTGTGCTTCATTTGCTAAGTCTGCAACCCTATTTAATGTGTCTTTCAAAAATTATCTATCAATGCTCTTGGCTCTCAATTTTTTATCTTCAGCCCAAACTAATCCCCTGAACTCCAGACCCATAAAACTAATTGCTTACTGACATCTCCATTTCAGTGTCTAATAGGCATTTTAAACACAACATATCTCAAACTGAGCTCCTGTTATCTGCCACTATTCTCTTCCTGTCCCCACACCAGTTTCTCCTCCAGCCTGCCCCACCCAAGTTAAGGGTTCATTCTTCCATTGCATGGATAGAAAAAAAAAATCAGTGTCATCTTTAGCTCCTCGCTTTATCTCACACCTCAAAATCCTTTAGTTTTTGTATGAGTTTAGTGATTCAGAGGAAATCTCTATTTTATATTTCTGTAAGTTTGAGACTAGCTAACAGGTTTGGGCAGTATAGCCCAAGAAGAAATAAGCCCCCGAGGGCTTCTGGAGTTTTTCCTGGGCCAGAGATGTCTCTTCCTTGGAAGCAGAGTGCCTCTTCCATGCCAGTCAACAAATAAATGTGCTTTAAGAAGGGCAAAGGTGGCAAAAAAATCTTTTGCACTTACAGACTCAGTCATTCCCAGACTTTTGCTTTCACTTCCAGAAGCACTGCTGAAAAACTCTTATTGGAAACTGTTAACTGTTGTTGGCTGGGGGTGGTTACATTACCTGAAGCGCCCATTCCCACCCTGGTTATTAAAGGAAGCACTTCTCTTCTCTTTCCCCTCTTATAGTAAGTATATAGCTTTCTAGCCTCTCAATAATCCTTTCTGGACCAGAGGACAAAGGAGTTTCATGATATTAGAATAGAATGCACAATGTGTAAATCTATGTAATAACCAAATCACAGCTTTACAGTGGAGAACTCCAGGAAATGTCTGCCAATTATTTGTTTAGTATGCATGATGGATGTTGTGAGACCATGTCAAGTCTTTCGTATCAAACATCAAGGGACCCAGAACCTAGACAATCAGAGCTGTCTAATTTTTTTTTTTAATACAGTCTAGACCAAAAAATAGATTTTCTAAATTTCCACCAGCTGTTATCCTCTGGGATTCCCCCAAAGGTGCAAGGGTCTCTTCTCTACTGTCAATGTATGGCATCCTTGAGGTAACAAAAAAGAAGCTGGATAAAATCGACCAAAGCAAAAAGGGTTTACTGGTTTATCATGTTTTCAGATATTTAAGGTCCTAGGTCAATTGGAAGGTGGTGTTTTCTGCCATGCAATTTTGCTGACTATGTCATTATATCAAGAACAACTTTTCATACAACATTCCAATAATAGCAAATACATGCTCATAAATGGCCAATATGATTGACAATGTAATTTGCAAAAATGGTTGGGTAACCATGTGAGAAAACCAATTAAAACAATGAAAAACAAAACTACCTTGAATCTCTCTACTAAATAGCCAAAGATTTGCATAAAATTAAAAATAAGTAACGTAAATAGCAATAGACACTGTGTAAGTGGGACACAAAGAGGGGTAAAAATTTCTTAAGGGGATTTAAAAATGCTTCCATTTGACAAAGAAAAGTTTGTTGTAAAAGTTAAACCTGGGTCAACACATCTCTACTATATCAACACATTACTCATACATTTTTCTTAGACTTCAAATTTTAAGGAAACAATCAAATTTGAATGTATGATATTTTTTGCACATTTCAATGTCAAAAGTTTCCATGCCTCTTCAAAGACATAATGAGGCATACTTTCTTATGTTGCTACACTCAGGGTCTCTGAAATTTTCTAAAGATTCTTTCATATAACAAAATTTTACCTTTAGAGTTAGATTTTAAAATAATTGAGTCTGTTTGTTAAAATATCTGCGGCCAACTTATCAGCATCCCCAAATAAAAAGGGTTGTACAAACAGCCTGTGAAGGCAGTTTTATAGGTCAAACCTGTCAAACCTAGTCAAACCTGTGATATCTGGAAGACTTTTTTTTTTTTTTTTTGGTAAATTCTGTTACCAAAAACTTTTTTGGTAAGTTCAAGAGCACTTACAGTATCCCAAGTTAACAGAGTTCTCAATTATTTTTTATAAAGACTTTCCCATAGTCTGTTTTCTTCCCAATGATGAACTGATTAACTCTAAATGCAAATATTCCACTTTATCCCATCATCTTTCTGACAGTCTCGGGATAACTGCTTTCCTATAAGATAACTGGAATGCTTTAATCCTCCGACTGTATCAATTACTCCTTTCCAATAATCAAATTTTTGCTTGAATAATGGATTTAGTAATTCAGGCCATCTGAAATACTGAAATCTGTACATGACAGCAATCATACTATTCAAAACATTCTCCTGCACATGTCAATAAGAAGAAAACTACCCACCCTGAGTATAGCTAATAATGTCAAACAGATTGTCATCTTGGAAAACAAAAATGCATCAAAATTAGCTTCGGACAAAGTACAACTCTAGAGAAAAACACCAGGTTTTTATACGCAAATGTCTTTAATGTCTGATTGAAATGTTTAAAGAATGAGTTAGCAAGGATTCTGCTCCTACTCTACATAATCCAGGACAATGCAATGAAAATAGTTTTAGAGTTAAAGGGTTTTTAGTCATAGCACATTATGATTTTACCAAAGATGCATTTGCCCCAGTTTCTAGTAAACATAAACGTTTGGTTTCCAGCTTAGGTCGAGGGCTCTATTTAGCCTATCAAGGCACAGACCTGTTATAAATGCTGGGGCGCTTGCCAGAATTTTTTTCCTCTGGAACTCTGAGTAAAGATCGTACCTCGAAAGCAATGTGCTTCCAATGTGTTGCAAACCACACAGATTTAAGCTCCCACTCCCGCCTCCATATCTTGGCACCAGCGGCTTTTGGGGTATCCCTCGTCTTCTAAAACTCAAGACTAAATCGCCACCTCCCACCAGTACCACGCCACCATCCTTGCGCAGCTCTCAGGGGCTCAGCAAAGAGAGTCCGCAAAAGCGCACCTGCAGCTCTCCTGGTCCTTGCAGGGTGAACTCATGGTGCCACCCAGCTCCCAGCTGGGCGCGCACCCACAAACACTCTCCTACACCCTCCCGCTGCAAACTGCCCACAAATTAGTCACCCATCTCACCCCCACTACTTATACCCCCACGTCCCTGCCGCTATTCCCCTCCTCCTGGTGGCTTCGTCCCCAACACACCTGTCTACCCCTACAGCTGCCAGACGTCAGGTGCCCACGCTGCGCCCTATCCAGCGCCCCCTCAATCCGACTGGCGCTTCCCCCTCCGTCCCGCAGAAGGTCAGTTTGCTCCGAGCAGCCGCTTTCCCCTACTCCTGTGCCCACCCACAGACCGCCCCCAATCCCACCCTCGCGGGCGCGGGGGCAACACACCCGCCGTACCTGCCGAGAGCTCGGCGGCCGCGGCGAGCAGCAGGAGAGCCTGGCGGAGCGCGGAGCGGAGCGCGCGGGTCATGGCCACCAGGCGGCCACGCCGGGGCTGCGAGGCCCCAGAGCGGAGCGAGGCAGCCGGGGCAGCACGGGTCGCTTTGAAGTTCCCGGGGCGCGGGAGGGGAGCGCAGCCCGACACCCTTTTGAAGTGTGCGGTTGGCTCTAGGCGGTGCGGGCGCCCCCCTCCCCGGCCTCCCCCATCGCACGCCCCCCGCGGCTGGCGGCGCGCGGCGCTCCTGCCACTGGCCCCGGCGCGGGCTGGGAGGGGCGGGGGCGGCAGATCCCGCCCCTGCGCGCCTCCGCCCGCGCGCCCTCCCGCCGCCGCCCGGCCGGAGCTGCGGGCAGGCGGGCGCAGGCGGCGGGGCGGCCGGGCGGCGGGCGCGCTCGGAGCGCGGGCGCAGAGGGAGGGGCGGCGGGGCAGCGCGCGGAGCCCCCAGGACGAGATACTCTGGAAGGGGAGTCGTGGGACGGGAGGGACTTTAGGGAAACTTAAGCCACGCAGCAGTTGCGTCCTGGCGATCAGCTCTGTAGTCTCCCGCAGAAGACCCACCGTTCCAGCTCTCTCGACACTCGTTTATTGTCCGGTGTCCTTACGTCTAACTAGACTTCGCCACGAGCAACCCCCCAGTGTTCCTACCCGCCTGTCCCACCGCCGCGTCAGGGCCGTGCGCGCGGCCGTGGAAGGGCGCCCTCTCTGTCCGTCCCCGGAAATGACTAGTCACCCGACTGCCTGGCGGACTGGGAGTTTTGGCTTCACAAGATTCGTCTTTTACCGATGCCTTCCGACGACCCTCCCCTCTATAAGTGACAACCAAAGCCGAACCACCTGCACCAGGTGATGCGGCCGTCTACAAGGTGAAATCCAGGTTTGGTGGTAAAGCTCCTGGCCTATGGAAGGTGTCTCAGCAGCTACAATTTCAGCAATTGAAGAACTGGGAAAATAATAAATAGTAATAAAACACACGGAGTAAGGGGCGGGGAAGAATTGTTTAAAATAATATAGTAGAAACTTGTTCGAGTATTGTTTAAATCCCTGACGGATTATTGCCAAAAGGGTGTGCTTCTCACGTGGCTTGTGACCGAAAACATAAGGGCAGCATTACTAATTAATAGAAATTAGTCTAAATTCATCTATGTAGCCTTGTACATTAATGTGAACAGGATTATTTTAACCTGAACAACAAAAGATTCCCCAAGAAAACAATATTGGTGTATTTACTGCTCTGAAGGGGTGACTTGAAAAGTGACAGTGTCATATAAATTAATTGTGTTAGGGTAAGAGATGACTTACTTCTTCACCTAGCTTAGAACTAGAATAACTAGCTGAGTGTTTTTCTGAGGGCTATGAAAGACCTATGGTGAAATGATGTATGTAATTGATTTTACAGTCTCACGGCGGGAGTGGGATAGTTGTTGGACTTGAAGACATGTGGGTGGCAGTCCTGAGGATCTCTCCCACCGCCACCTTGGATGAATCAGAATATTCCTAAACATAAAAAACTTTGTTCTCATTTTATCCCGGATCCAAACAAACAAACAAAAAAAATGGAGATGTGGGACTAGTCTGAGCCCTTCCAGACACCCACAAAACAGATGCTTTAAAAAAAATGGCAAGAACATGCCAGGACACATTATATTTTGACTGGCGTGGCTTGCTCGTTATTTGGTAACTGTACCCTAGATTGTGATCTGCAGTTGGATCATGAGACTTGGAGTCTAAAGAGCAGGATTTCATGCACTTTCTGGGCCTGCTTCCTCAAAAGTAAATGGAACTTCATTTCTCCCTATTCTCAGAACCATGACCAGGATCGAAAAGCATAGTGTATGGGAGAGCACTCTTAAACAATAGGCATTACATTAAGGTCAGGTATTTACTCCCCACATATTTATTCTGTCTGGAATATAGTAAGCAATGTCCACTGTAAGTTGGAAGCCTCTCATTTCTAAGAAAGCAAGATAATCCTGAGAAGTTTGATATTGAATCATTTCAATATTTTTATATTTTTAGAAACAAACTCAACGTTTTCCTCTAATGGTGCATTGTCAATACGGTAACCACTAGCCACATGTAATATTGAGCACTTGAAATATGTCCAGATCAAATTGACATGTGCTGTAAAGAAAATACATACTATATATATTTCAAAGACATAGAACAAAAATGAATATCGATAATATATTATCAATAATGTTCATATTATTCACATGTTGAAATGATAATATTTTAGACATGTGGGGTTAAATAAAATCTATTATTAAAATTAATTTCACCTATTTCTTTTTACTTTTTAATATGAATACTAGAAAATTTTAAATAACATACTTGGTTCACATTATGTGTCTATTGGACAGTACCATTCTAAAGAATCCTCATCAGATGGCAAGGATCCAAGAACAGTATAAAAAAACAAAACAAGTGGTTAGCTGTCTTGTCAGTCAATACCTGGCCAGCCAATGAAGGAATCAGAATCATTTGAATTCTTGGTGCAGAGCCTATGGCCATACCACCCTGAACACACCTGATCTCATCTGAATTCTTGGTGCAGAGTTCCATGACACAACGAAAAAGGTTAAGATATAAAAAATATATAAGTACTTTATTTGTAGGAGAATTTAAATTAGGTCCTCAAATACCATTTTTCCCATCCTCTTTTGCATTTTCCAATGTCAATACTATAAAAACTTTGAAGTGAGGTGTTAGCCACTCTCAACATATTGAATTTTAATCGCTGGAAAAGTATATTCTTAAACAATTATAAATATTTCTAATATGCTTGAGTACTCAATGCCACCTTCATGGCAACCAAGAAAAGACCTTTATCCTTATAATGTGTCCCCACGTATACTTTATTTATGCATACACACACACACACACACACATATACACACACACACACATCCCCATGGAAATTGATCCAGTCTTAATCCAATGTCTTTTAAAATAAATTATTATTAAGAAAATACTCTTTGGAGCATATTTAGCACTCTCATTTAATATAAACAATAGAAATGCATTGTTCAAGATGTGATATAACACATCTTTCTTTCAAGTTTCTGTACATAACAGAAAAAAGTTTAACATGCAAGATTTTTTTATTTTACTAGAAAGAAATTTACGTGCAAATATGTTTCTCAGGATTTAACATTCACCCCCACCCTTAATCATCTATCTGCACATATTCATTACCATAGCAACATTACATCATCACTCCTAGATTCTTGTAACCAAAGAATACAATAACAACAAATAATTGAGGGGTTCATAACCCATTGGCAAAACAGACTTTGTGTGAATAAATCTTATATAAGCAAGAGAAACAGGTATAGAAATTTTAAATTATAAAGATTTGATACATTTGCAGAATAACATTGCAAGTTAATAAGGCAGATAAATGCCTTATTAAGTTAATAAGGCAGATAAATAACTGAACTTTGAAAAAGACTATCTGTTGAGTGTGGTTGTTTGGGATTTTTTTATCATGCAGGTTTCCTTTATTATTATCCTTTCCAGAATCTTCAATGCCATGCATCTTAATTTCTCATTTCATCTTGGAACATGAATTTATCATGGAATGAGCATATGGTGAGGAGGCATGCTACAATAATTTGCTATGCACTATCAAGGTCTAATCTTTTCTCATTTTACTGCATTTTTCCTTCCCCAAGCTAACATTGCTCCTAAGAAGTGCATGCAACACTCATCTCTACTCTTCTTGTCTCTTTTCTTAATCCCAAACATCTTTGCATTGGGAAATCTTGGTTTCAATTCTATTCTATTTTTTTATTATTAATTTCCATTGCATGAAAATACTCATATTTTAGAACCTTTATTGAGACTCTACAATAGGTATCCTCAATGTGTCTATTTCATGGACTGCTTGGATTTCAGTAAGAAAAATAATAATTCCTCTGTGAACATGGATAATGGGGAGATAGCAAACAATTTCTTAGCTCTACTGTCACTGCTAAAAGCTAAAAGTCTACTTTCAGTACCTATATTATTTCTTTTCACCACTTTCCAAGATGGCTATACTTCTTCACTAATTTTCATATCCATTTAATACTATTGATATAGTCTTCTTGCATTACTCAGATTTTGTCTGCTATCTCTTCCACTGACCAATGTCAGTATGTTGGGTTGATTAGCTGCATTCAATGCATGCACCATAAAGGGCAGGTCAGAGACTCAGTTCCAAGTAAGCAAGCCGCAACCACTTGGATCATCTCCTTAGAATGGGCCCATAATTACACTCTCCCAGAGTGAGGTCACAAAAAAGTAAGAGAAATAGGTGACTCAGTATAAATCCATCCTTTCCTGGAAAATAGCTAAAAAAAGATAGAGTTACTAAAAACCCCCAACAAAAACAACATTAGAATTCTGATGATCTTGACTCAAATAAAAAAAGTACTTTCAAGCTGCTATGTCAAAGGTAACAGCCACTAGCTAATTGTGGCTGCTAAGTACTTGAAATGTGACTAGTCTGATTTAATGTGTGCTACAAGTGTAAAGTAGACACTGGATTTCAAAGATTTATACTAAAAAAGGAATTTCAAGTAGCTCATTAATAATTTTTATATTAATTACATGTTGAAATGATAATATTTTTGATATATTGGGTTAAAGGAAATATATTATTAAAATTAACTTCACCCTTTTACTTTTTAATATAGCTCCTAAAAATATTAGATTACATGTGTGGCTGTCATTATATTTCTACTGGATAATGCTCATCTAATGAATCCTTATCAGATATTAATGATCACTTTTTTCTGTGCTTCAAATGTAGCAGCAGCAAGACCTTTCTTCCAATCATATTGTTCCAACTCCAACTATCTTTTACCCGTTTCCCATCTTCAATAGTGACCCATAGTCAATAATCAAGTTATGTTTATTTTTCTTTTGTGTTGTCCATTGTCTTCCTAGCTGTTATTTTTGTAGTCCAAGCCCTTAGTAATTTCATACTTGAGACATAAGTAGCAACTAAATTGCCTCTGTAACTTCATGTTATCCCCATCTTAACGTATCTTCAAGGCTGCCGTCAGGACAGCTTTCTGCTAACATAACTCTAATTATGTTCTCCATTTCCTTCAAATCTTCAGTGATCACCCTTGCCTATGGAATCAAGATGAAATTCTCAAAATTCTCTAGCACACTTGTTCCCAAACCTTTTGATATCATGACCCTGTTATACTCTTCAAAAATTTTAAGGACCCCAAAGAACTTATCTTTAAATGGGATTATGTCTGTCAGTATTTAACATATTAAAAATTAAAATTGGGAAATTCTTAAAACATAGTGATATGCAAGAACACATTCCATTGGCCTTCAGAGCAATGACATCATTGCACATCATGTACCTTCTGAAAAACTCCAATGTACACTTATGTGAGACTAAGTGTGCAAAAGGCAAATAACATCTTTGTATTACTTACAGCAGTAGTTTTCATCCTGTAGACCACAAAAAGGTCTTGGACATCCCCAGGGGTACCTGGGTTACACCTTGTGAATGCTGATTTAGTTCATTTCCACACACTTTTCCTAGGTGATCTCACCCATTTCCAGTACTACAACCTTGATTTCTGTTATGTGCTCAAGATTCCCAAATCTCTGTCATTAGTACTCATCATGCTTCTGAACCCCAAACTTGTATATCCTACTACCATCTCCATCTAAATAGCCCCAAGGTAGTCAAAATGAATGTGTCAAGCAGAACCCTGCTCCCCAAACCTGCTCCTCCTCCTCCTGTCTCTCTTGTCTCAATGATTGTCACCATTCAAACCAGTCACCTTGCTTTTCTCCTTATCTCTTCCCTCTCTCTCATCCTTCGCATCCAGTTAATCAGCAGTTTCTATGAATTCTAATTTTTATAAAAGTCTCCCGAATTTTTTCACTTCTTTTCACCTCCCTGCCACCAGCCTATTTCAGAACACCACCTTCTTTTTCTTGAAATGTCATAAAAGCCTCCCAACTGCTCTCCCTTTCCTGAGGCTCACTCCCCTCCATTCTAGACCCATCAGCCAGAAGGATCTTTTTATAGCACAAATGTGTTCATATCATTAAAAACCATCCAAGATATAATGCCAGATCTAACACCGACGTTATTTATTATTTAACCTGTCTAAACTCCAGTTTCCTTATCCATAAAATGCAGGTACTATTTGTGACTCCTTCCCTGTTTGCTGTTAGGATTATATGACATAGCATGGAAGTGCCAGGGAGTGTCTGGCTCATAATGAGTGACAATAAACTTTAGTGTGTTGGATTATAAGGGTGATGTTCATGATCTTAAAGCCACTATACCCCAGTTTAAAAATCTCCCACGACTTAACATTATCTTCAGGTTAAATTCCAAACCTCCTTCTTTCGCTTGAAGGTCCTTAAACATCCAACCACCGCTTATCTATCCAACTTCATTTCATGTCCCCGCCCTTCCTCTGCAACTTGTCTTATGCCTCTTTGTCTCTGAAAATGTGACCCGTGTTTTTCTATATGCAACACTGACTTCCTGCCGCACTCTCTTTCCTCACAGCTAGATTCTATTCATTCCACAGTTCTTAGCGTAGGAGTCACTATCTCAGGAAAATTTTCTCCCACCTCGTCCCCCATCAAAAAATTCTAAGTGCCTTTTCCTGCTTGCTACCACAGCTCTGACTTGACATCTATCGGGTCACTTGTGACAATGTATTACAATTGCTTTCCTTCATTTTTCTGCCACCTTAGACTACAAGCTTCCAGGACAGGAATTGTGTCTTCTTCACTGTTCTGTGTTTGGCAACTGAAATCATCTTGGCACATAATAAGACATTCAATAAATATTTGTTGAATGAATAAGTAGCATTTAAAACCCTCGCCCATATTTCCCCAAACCTACCCTTCTAAGCACATTTCCCTCTTTCCCTCTGTTCCCCACACGCAAACATTATATATGTTGAATAAATGAGTAAGCTCAACAACAGAAGCATTTTTATAACTAAAGATTCACCTCCTTTATACCCATATTGCCAAATCTGAGACAGGGGCTTGAGTAAAGAAGTACAGAAAATGAAAGGGAACATCGAACCTTAAAAGTGACCAAAGGGTGTTCATTATGGAACTCTCTGGCTTGGAGGCCAAGTCACCTCAGTAAAACAAACAAACA